GCCATCATTCCTGGGCAGGAGTCCTATTTTAGTGATAACCTCCCAGGAATATTAACTCTTCATTTACCTGACAGGGATATTTACAGTCTTTCACACATTTTAGCAAGTGTGAAGGGTTGTTCAGGGAGATCTTATGGTCATGTAGGTATTAGATTGAAAACAAAGTACCATATAGAGAGAGAGGGAGAGTGTAGATTTAGCCTGGCACATATCTGAGGAGTTTTTGAGGATGGAAGAAAATATTTCCTGCAGTTCCTAATGCTGGGAGCAAAGGTGGCCCTTGGAGCCTGCAGGAGCTTGGCTCTGTACTTTGAAGACGTGAAAATCCAAGGTATCCTGGGGAGAGAGCAGAGAATGGGCTCTGTCTGCTCCAACAGCTGCTTCCAAACCACTTCTGCATCAAATCTGCATCATTCCAGAAAGAGCAGAGGCTTCTCCAAAAGTGAACATGCAGAGGTGGAGTAAAACAAGAGTTCAGCCCTTCATGCTGCCAAAAAAATGCCTCTCACCCAGTAGAGGACAGCACACCACTCCTGGAATCCTTGTGAGCACTGTGGGAACTCTTTGCTTCAGTAGCATTTGCGAAAAGCATCCCTTTCCCAGCCATCCTGCTGTGTCCTTCTTCAGAGCCAGGCTGGGCTGTGAGAGGTATCAGAGCTGTCAGTGGCACACAGAACCTGTGGCCACATCCCTGTGGCTGGTTCCCAGGGCTGCATGTCAGCAGCCAGCCCAGCCTGGCATCCTGAGCTCTGCATGTCCGTGCATTTCATGGCATCGGCCAACATGGCTTAGTTTAGAGGAAGAAGCAGAGAAGACAGGCTTGGGGCTGGACTCTGTCTGTGTGGAGGTACCTGGTCCCACCTGAGATGCTGGAAAGCCACAGGTCTTCAGCAGGATTTGTGCCTTGTTTCGTAGCCCTGTGAGGAGTGTAGGTTTTACTAAAAGACCTCAGGCTTCACCAGACATCAGAGCACAGAGAGCTGGATTGTCTGGTGTGAAGAACCCTAAGTGTTGGTGTTTTCCTGTCCTCTGGCTGTCCAGATTCCTGCTCCAGTCACTGGACATCCAGTCAACGCAGTTTAGACAGATACTCAGGCACAAGCCAGGAGGGTCCCCAGTCTGTTGCCTACATGTAGATGCCATTTTAGAGGTGCTAACTTCACCTGTGTTTGCTCTGCTCTAATTGCATGGGTTTTCACCTGCCATAACTGACTGCCAAGGGACATCTCCAAGGACTCAAGGTGCCACCAGGTACAAAACCAAATTGAGCCCCAACACCCTCTCCCAAACTTAGTGGGCAGGGTCTTGTCACTTGGCCAACTAATCAATTGAGGGATGAAAAAGAACAGATTTCAGCTTATTTTGTCTTCATTTAAACCCTTGAGAAGTGCTTGAGCCATGTGATCAACATGGGCTATGTTGGTGGGATGGAAAGCAAGAGGAACTGCTAGAGGTGCTGTAGCCAGACTTTAGCTCCAAAGGAAAAACTCCACTGTGAAGTTTACAGGCATAAGGGACAGAAGCAGACAGCAAGAAGTTTTGTCCATGAAGGCATTTCAACTCTGTCCGGGGTAAATAACAGCTGGATTCTCACAGTGCTCCCATGCTACCCTGACCACTCAGGGACTTGCTTCTGTGTTTCCTAATGTGTTTCTTCCTCTTGCCTCAAAAAAGCAGCTTTTTGTGAATGAGAGAAGGTCCATCAATGGGAAACAATGGCTCATAAAGACATAATGATTCATTTGGAGCCCTGCCAGGGGTTATTGTTTCTCCCAGTGAGCTTTTGCCTGAGCTGGAGGTTGCATTCAGAACCTGCAGTTTCCTTGTTTAGCTGCTCTGTGAAAGCAGCTTCAGTGTGAGGATTCTGGGAACTTGGCTGAGCTCATTTTGCTATGGACTTTTCCTTTTATTCCTCTCCTGTGACGTGAGCAAATCTTCAAGAGTCTTTAGTCAATATCTACAAAAACATTTGAACATACAGTACTGCAGTGCCACTGTGATAAGCGTATATGGTGGAGCAGCCTGGTCCCATGAGCTGTCTGGCTGTGTGATGGCACATCTCCTCCTTTCTCTTGTGTAGGAACACATGTTCCCTTCCTTCTAGGCTTGCCACAGTAAATACAGCCCTGAGAAATCATTCTTCTAACACCAATAAAATCTGTCATTTCAAATTTTTTAAAGCAGTCTGTTTTGTAGCTATTTTTGGGAGCTCTGCCCTGTGTAAAATTCCATGCCCATTTCAAATACACTTACTACATTTCTTCCATCCTCTTGCTCTGCCATTCTGGCTAAAATTAAGGTTAAAAATAAAAATAAAAGCCCAACAGCAATGTTCTGTACAGCCCAAAGTGTTTCAGACAAACTGGCAAAGCACAGTGATTTTGAGGCTCAGTGGCCCAACCTTCAGAGACCTTAAGTCTTGACTTTCCATTAGTCAACAACACAGCTCACATGGGTCCTAGTTCAGCTGGTCAGAGAAGGACATGCAAGACTGATTTGTTAATGGCAGATCATCTGGCACATGGGAATTTTCCACAGTTTAACTTTTGATGGAGGAGGTTGGGTGGAACCACCTGCTCCCATCCCTGCTGTGTAATGGTGCCCTGCAGCATAGCAGCAATGCCAACACCAGCTGGGTCGGTTCCCAACATTGACAAGGGCTGCTACAAGCTGGGTATCAGAAAAATGCTAGTTCAGTGCAAAGATGTCCCTTTGTGCTCTTGCACCTTGGCTATTTTAAGTGACTTTGACAGGTAACATGCAATTCTTCCCTGAGAGGAATATTAAGTGTTGGAATGGGCTGCCCAGGGAAATGGTGGGCACACCACCCCTGGAAGTTAAAGAAACAGCTTGATGTGGCACTTCGTGCTGTTTACTTGACGTGGTGGTGTTTGATCAATGATCTTGGAGGTCTTTTTATACTTGATGATTCTCTGATTCTGTGGTTTAATTTCATATGTGGGTATGTAATCAGTGACCATCTCTGATATTACATGAGCTTGGATTTTAGAGGAATCGATCTATCCTAGAGTAGAAAAAAGGAGGGAAAAATCCATTCCCTTTAATTTCCTTCATGGACTCATGTTCTTCCTGCCCTACTCTTGTTAAGTGTGTCCTTGCTGTCTCTCAGCCAGTTTGCTGTAAATGTGTAGCAAACTCAAAGATCTGTGGCAGGGATGAGGTGAGATGTTTGGAAAGGAAATAACACTCTTGTTTTATGTAGATCAGCACAGCCAGTGGGGGAATTTCCAGAACTTTATTGTGCCAAAGTCAGCTGGCAGGAATTAGGTGGCCTCCTTGGCAATCCAGTCAGGTTGATGAGTAAGTGTCAAGAATCTGAACATTACTGATGCAATCAAGTGGGTTAATGTTTTGCAGCTAAGTCTCCTGTTGAAAAAGGTGGATAGGGACTTTTGACCAGGGCATGTAGTGATAGACCAAAAGGGAATGTCTTTAAACTGACAGAGGGCAGGTTTAGATTGGATATTGGGAAGAAATTGTTTTCAGTGAGGGTGGTGAGGCCCTGGCACAGGTTGCCCAGAGAAGCTGTGGATGTTCCATCCCTGGAAGTTTTTAAGGCCAGGCTGACCAGGGCTCTCAGAAATCTGGTCTAATGAGACTTGTCCCTGCCCATGGCAGCAGGGTTGGAACAAGATGATCTTAAAGGTTTCTTCCAACCCAGACCATTCCATGATTCGTTGACTCTGTGAAATCAGTGGGAGTTTTCCTTTCTATCCTTTGGCTTCTAGGCAGGATCTTCCACACGAATTATGGTAAGCCATGTGTCATGCACTGTGACATGACTACAAGGGCTGTCACAGGATTTTATGTGTCTTTACTTGAGATGTATTAGCTGTTCCTTGTCTTCTTCAGAACAGTCATTTCAGATAAAAGAGTTCCCCAAAGAAATTTGCTAAAAAACAACTAATCAAAACTTGAAATGGAGCTGAAATTATTTTAATTCCTCTTCTGTTTAAACTCTAGGTTGCTCATGGCTGAGTGCTCCTCTTCCTATGTGTATCTATTAAGTAGCCTCTCTACACCCAGAGAAGGGGGTGACAGCAACCTGCCTTGGGAGGGAAGCTCTCTGGACTGTCTTTGAACTACAATTTAAAGTGGTCAAGCTCTTGTATGAATATGGCAATCCATCAATGTGCTCTGTGGTACATGCAGGGATATGTTCCATAGACAAATCCAGTTGTGAGCCTGAGTCTGAAACATGCAATTCCTCTGATGATGCAAAGGAGCCCTAAAAGGATGCAAAAGTAGTGTGGTTTTTGGTTTTTTTTTGTGTTTTTTTTTTTATGTCTGCTCTAGCATGGAGGAAATAAAGATAGTAACAGAGAAGGTAAAGAGTCTATAAAGGGTAATAGTGACAAAGCTACCACTCTCAAGGGACTATTCTCTAGGGCTGGAGGCCACATTTTGAAGTTGCCTCCCTATCTGTGGGTGGACAGGAGTCATGCCTGAGGTTCTGTTTGTTTCCTCTGCTTTGGTCAGAGCTCTGCAGTGTTTGCACCCTCCCCTTCCACCCAACTGTACATTTCTCCTGCCCCATTTGCACTGGGAAAATGCTGGAGTCAGTTCCTAGGAACTGACTAAAGAGAATTGGACGTGAAAGGGTCTTGGAAAAATGAAACATTGCTTAATCCCATGCTGGACCAGTTCCTCAACCAGCCTTTCCTCAGAAAAGGAGCGTGGGAGCTCATGTGTGCTCCGGGGGTTGTGGCGGGTGAAGCAGGACTGGCCTTTGCTGCAGCAGTTTGGAGATGACTGCAAGGCTACACTCGGGCAGATGCTGGTAAGGACACAGTGCCATGGGTCATTAACCTTCTGAGCTCAGAAAATGCTTCTTTTCTGATGTGCTCTTGGCCTCTGACATCACCCCCTGCGCTGATGTACCAGCCTCTTGGAGAGGATGTGCTGTGCAAGCTTGGCCAATGTGCACTGAGGCATCGAGCTCCCTCCATCTGCTTACACAACTGGTGGTATCCATCAAACTGCCTTCAGCCAGAAGCCCGTCAAGAAGATGCATTGACACAAAAGACAGCAGTAAAATATTTAAAGAATAGCTTGTCCAGTGGTATATTTTATATATTTTTAGTTTGCACTATATAAAGCCTTTCTGCGTGAATCCAAGCTCTTTCCTTTAGGAATTTACCAGAAACAGGTATGCATTTCATTCCTGGAAATTATTTTAGTCCTGCTATTGATTTGTTTCTATTGATGGCTTTGGGAGCTTTTGGCAAAAGACCATAGGTATAAAAATGGGAGAAATAAGTAGATCTCAGCAATATTGTTATGATTCCATGTACCCAATGACATTGTGGCCATAGATTAATGGGAAACTGATGTTACTTATCTTTGTCTGCCAACACAGCTCTGAGGCAAACCCATATCAAGCACTGAGAAACAAATGGGGGCTGTGTGGCTGCTCTGTGCTCTTGCCAGAATTGGTCTCTGCTTCTGAGGTCTTCCAAGGTCGCTTCTGACTGCTTTGGATGGGTCACAATGACATAAGCATGACCTCCAATCTAGATTATATTTGTTATGACCTGTCTTTTTAAGTCTTTGATCTAATGACCAAGTGTAGAAGCTGGTGGTGCTGAGTGTGTTGCTGCAGAACCAGCTTACCCATGTCCTTTCCAGGTATCCCTGCTGTTCTTTCCATCTCCCACCTGCTCTTCCTATCCCACTCCTATAGGTTCATAGTAGTTATTTACCAGAAAACACTCTGACATGTCCAGTGAGGGAGATCCTACCCACCTGTGAGCATGAGGATGAGGAGTTTGTTTGCTCCAAGGGAGGAAGACAGAAGCAGTGACTACCTGTGGCTTGATGCTGATCATCTCCTCTCCTGGCTTTGGTGATCCAGCAAAGGTGAGGCATTTTCTCCCAGGTTTCTCCAGAGCTTGGAAAATAGTGTGATCTTGGGGATGTCTGTGGAGAGTGTGTTGTTCCTAGTTCTGCTGGCACTGGACATGGTGTTTCTCTGACTGGGCTTTGTGCTCTGGCCAGTGCCTTTACTGCAAAGTGCAGCTACAAGGGCAGCATACCAAGGGCTTGACTCAGCCCTTGCTTTGCTTTTTATGGGCTCTCAGTCCAGCAGAGCCAGGATGCTTGGCTAGCCCAGAGTAATCTCCTGAGGTACTCAGATACTGCAGAGAAATGCAAACCCCTTCATTTCACAGGTGGAAAGTGGATTTCTGTGAAGGTGAGTGAATAGCCAGTCCCAAATCACTCTGAAGGAGGCCAAGTGTGTTGCATGTTGCCTTCTGCCTCACCCATCAATCCTGCTCTGTCCTGATGCAAGAAGACTGATAACCTTTTTCAAAGTACTAAAGGGAACAATCTGAATCACTTGAAGATGAGTCAAGTTTGGATGAATTCCCCACAGGCAGGCTTGGCAGCTGGCCTAACACCCTTGCAAAAGGATTAACCTATTCTGTCCCATCACAGCAACTGGGGGACGAGCTCTTCTTGGAGTGGCTTGTGTTTCCAGACTGGAGTCCACCATGCTCTGCACAGCTGAGGGTTTTTGGAGGAGGCACATCAGGTGCCAAGTGCAATGTTCCTGGCAGCTGGGAACACAGATGGGGTCCATGTGCTTGAGGAGTAGGCTGAGGTGAAGGGGGCAATGACAGTGGTCTGGGAGAGCTTTAGCCAAGCTGTTTTCTGAGGATTTCCCTCCTCTTCACTTGTCTGTGCACTTTCCACCACTGAGGGCTGTGACTTCTGGTTCTTCTCTCTGAGTTCAGTGAGAATTTTGCTATGGACATAAAGGGAAGAAATACCTGCCCATTTCAGGACTCTGATAAAGAGTCACAAGTTAAACTTCCAGATCTGGTAGAAGTACTGGGTTTGGGTGTATGAGAAGATCATAGAATATGCTAAGTTGGAAGGGACTCACCAGGATCATCGATTCCAACTCCTGGCCCTGCACAGGTCACTCCAAAGATCATACCATGTTCTTGGGAATATTGTCCAAATGCTCCTTGAAATCAAACTGTTCGAGTCACATGGTAAGGAATGGTCAGGCTTCAGTTACCTCAACAGGGGCATTTAGTGGTATTTGAGATACCCTTGGAAATACTGGCTGATCAGTTGGTTGAGAAGGTTGTGGATCTCTTGTAGTTCCTGAGGGGACAAATCTTCCATCCCCTGGTGGATTTCCCAGACACTGTCATGAGACACTTTTGGAGCTTGGAGATTGCACAGGCTGTGGGATGGAGGGCAGTGGTTCTCATCCTTCTGAGGTTGGATGTCCCAGTTTCTCAGCTTGCCTCTTCTGGTTACACCTTGTAGCTCTCTTAGGAAATTTGGAACAGGATACTCTAACTGTACATGGATAATGGTTCTGTTTGGGAAATAGAAGATGTGTCTCTTCAGCATGCAATGTATTCCAGCTTAACACCTCTCCTGGCTGGAAGGCAAGTACAGATGCTCACATGGAGGGTCAGTACGTGCTCACTGGACTCCTTTCTCACTTAAGCTCTTCCACCTTCCAAGGAGCTGAGCCTTTGGGTCGAAAGATGAATTCCCAGGAGCTGTGTCAGGTAGGACGTACAGCAAACCCAAGCTACAAAGAGTGTTCTTCCCCACTCAGCCCTTGCTGAGTAATTCTCATGGTACCTACACACATAAAACCCTTTGGCCAGGTGAGCGGAAATTCATCCCACTGTCTCCAGGGTGGGATTCAGCTCTGGATGGAGACCCAGATATGTGGGAGTCTCCATGTCCATGTATCCATATGTACTAGGTGTCTGAACTCCCATTATACCATGTGGAGAGAGAACAGCCAGAAAAGTCTTGATTCACTTGCAGATGTCTGGGCTCCTAGCACTGTGTGAGATGCTTCCCAGCATCTCCCTTAGAATCCTGGGATGAAAGTATCATTAAGATTGGAAAAGACCTTTAAGATCATCAAATCCACCACAGCCTCCAGCTGCTCATAGGGATTGGGTTTTTCATATCCTGGCTGCTTGTTGTCCTAAACTTTCCACCTCTCTAAAACATCCCCAAAGAACCAGGAAAACAACCCAGGTATCTCCCACTTTCCTCCAGTTTCTCAGAAAAAAAGGAACAGCATAGCCTGACCCACTTGTCCCCCTCCTTTCCCCAGCTTTTCCAAGGGAACTCTGTGGCCTGTCCTTCTGCAGTGCTTCGTGACACCAGTTTCTCCGAAGGCAACACAACCGCAGGGCAGAGGCGAGGCACATTCCTGATAGGACCAAGATAGCTTTTTCCCATAGCTCCCAGGCAGTGGGAACAGGGCACTTTTTCAAAGGACTGCTGTGCCTAAAGTTAAAATAACAGGAGGAACAGAGTGGGAGATCCAAACTGGATTAGAGTACTTGGGGCTCGATTCCTTCAAATTGAGGTAGGAAAGAGAGGATGACAAAAGGATGCACTTGGTGAGTTTCCAAAATACTTTTGTGACCACTTTGATATCTCTTTGGTCTCATATCACCACAGCAATAAATCTGCCTGATTCCAGTTTGTGCACACAATCTGAACTGCAGCTTTGTTTTGTTAACAGGGATTACCCAGGCTTGTGGTTTTGTTGTTGTTTCCAAAAGATTTCTCCTGCTGTTGGGGTAGATGAGTCCCTCTTCCTACCCACCCCCATGGAAGAACAATATTGATATAAAGTCTAAAACACTTAAAATCAGATGGGCTGAATGTTGTTTTACGGCCTGGAAGCCCCAAGCTGTCTTTGTCCCTCTGATTTTTCCACAAGTTTACAAGTCATGGAAAATCTTGTCTGTTTTCAACCTATAATTCTCCATTGGCTACAGAAATGCCTCTCAGGAGAGAATAAATATATGGGTGCTCTGGGGTCACCATGGTGTTGTAGGTGACAATCTTTGAAGCTCTCACAATGGAGCCTGTAAGAGCAAGGAAGGGGAAAATCTGCTCCTTGTTATTTCAAAGCTATATCTTGAAAAACAGGAACTTGTGCCAGGACAGTTTATTTTGGTTAAAGCCAAGTTGTGCAGCAATTCCCCTGAGGGAAGACTGAACTTGAGAGCAGAGAGCAGGAGAGAGACAAGCTTGTGGGGAGACTGAGTGCTTAATCAATGCTGAGTGATTGTTGATGTTTGGGAACATCAGCACCAGTTTTGGATCAGGTTCTCCACAGGTGTCTAGACAGCTGTAAGCCATGAAGAACACTGGGAATTTAAGTCAGAGCTGAACTCACCTCGTCCAACACCTCAATGTCACTGCAGCTCAGCCTTTGCACTGTTTTGTCTTCATGTGTCCCACTGTGGCTGAAGCTGAGGGGATGCACAGGTTGTGCCTACAGCAGTAAATTTCTCAGGAGCATCCCAGGAACATAAATATGATCTGTACAGTTAAACTGAATGGGCTACAAGGCAGGGGCTGGCTGAGCAAATCCCTCACACTGTATGAGATCAGGTTTGTGACGACCTGAGGATTTTGAACATGTATAAGTCTGTGGCATTCCAAGACATCCCAAAGGCATTCCAAAGAGGCATCCCAAAGTCCTGGGGGAATTGGCTGAGGCAGTTGCCAAGCCTCTCTCTGAGATATTTAAGAAGTCATGGCAGTCAGTGAGGTCTCCAGGGACTGGAAAAAGGAAACCATTGAATTTATTTTTAATGACAATAAAAAGAGTGACCAGGAGGACCCTGGGAATGACTGACCTGTCAGCCTAACCTCTTCTAGCACCACAAAATCTTGTGATGAGGATTTTCGTAGTATGACCACACATTACATAAAGCACTGACTTGCATATTGCCTTGAAGAGTCCTTGTTTTAGTTTAATTTTCCTAACTTTTGCATTAAAAGAGACAGTGAAAAAATCACTATTATGTTCCTTTTGTGGTTTTATAATTCTCTGTCACCCTTCCTATTGCTCTTTTTATTTTCGCAGTCTGAAAAATCCTGGCGTGCAATTCACTCCTAACTTTCTGTGTGCCGAAATCTGAGATGATGTTTTCATGGTGCTCCTAAACCAAGATCTTGTTCCAGCCCATCATTTCAATCTGTGTTTTGAAACCCCGCTTAATCCACTTCCGATCCTTCCCACATGGAACCAGCAGCACAGCTTGATCCTCACAGCAACTAAATTTTCCACACAGAGAGCTGTGATCATTTCATGGAGAGACAGAAGGCAGCTGAGATAAATGTCAGTGGAATATGTGGCTGCTAAATGTGAGCAGCAAAAGCAGTAGTCACCCAAGGCTCATGAGAGTGTGTGCCACCTCCTCCTTGTTCACCTGCCAGGGATGTGGAAAAGCAGCTGCAATTCAGGGAGGCAGCACGGACTGTGGGATTTGAAATCACACCCAGAGTCGTGGAGCCAAATCTCTGTGACTGCAAACTCCAGCTGAGTGTGTGAGAGCTGCAGACAGTGAGAGCTGCAAACCTGGCCACACATCCCCACTCCTTCCAGGAGCACAACTGCAGCCAGGGCCCTGGGGACTTGTGCAGTGTCTTCCATCCATCTGAAGTCCTTTGGAGAACTGGGCAAGCTGGCTTTGCCTGGAAAGGGAGGATGGGTTATCCTACTGGAAACCAGCTGGAATGAGCACAGACCAAAGCTACCCTGAGACACAGCAGTGGAAAACATTGGAGGAGGAAATTGCAGAAAACTAATTCTACCCTTTGGATAAGACCCAGCAGGATCAATTCTGCCTGTTCCTCAGAGTTCTCTTTGTGATGGTTCTGGAGGGATTGTCACTGTGGGTGTTGTGCCTGTCACTAGGTGGGAGGAGTGGATGAGAAGCAACTGTTCAGTGATCCTCTATCCTGCTGGGCTTGGGTACCCACTTGCTGGATGCTTTTCTCCCATCCAACATGTTTGGAAAAACGAGTTTTTCCTCTTCCAGAATTTCTGACCAGCTCATTCCTACTCCACACTTGTTTGTCCCTTTGTGGACCCTTGTTTTATTTTTATATTCTGGAGAAGCAGATGTTTGGAGAGAGAGATGGTGTGTCTGAAGTGCTGCATCATCTCACCTCTAAAGGATTTTCTGTCTCAGGAGAGTTTTCTTTTCCATCCTCTTCTCACCAGCCAGATTTTTTTTCTGGGAATTGCCTTCCTGAATCTGCCAATCCCTTTTTGTCATATCTGCTGTATTCCCTGGCTGCAAAGAGAGAATTTTCAAGCTGGTTACCATAGTAAGGATTGACAAACCCTTGTCTGGAAAGAAAGGGCTTCTGAGAAGGCAGATTGTCATTACAGACCAAAATATTCCCATTAAAGACTTTGGCAGTTAAAAACATGTTGTTTAATGGCTCTAAGAGTTAATGACTGCACTCCTGTGCTTTTATTGCATTTTATTGCATTTTATTGTGTTATATTTATTTTATTACTTACTTTAATTTTATTGCATTTTTGCTGCCTAAAAGAATCCTCAGCCTTTTTCTTTTTCTTTTTCTTTTTCTTTTTCTTTTTCTTTTTCTTTTTCTTTTTCTTTTTCTTTTTCTTTTTCTTTTTCTTTTTCTTTTTCTTTTTCTTTTTCTTTTTCTTTTTCTTTTCAAATAGAAAAAAAATCTCACCTCAAAACATAAAAGCAAAAATCCTGATTTGGCTGCAATTAGATGAAAATTAAGATCTTAGTCAGGATTAAACAGAGAGAGGTTGCTGCACCACAGGCAGTTCCCATGTCTGGGTCGGCAGGGATGTGTTCCCTGTACAGTCTGCCCTGCTGCACGTGCACCATAATTTGGGGACATGGGAATGACCAGGGGTTGCCCTGTGGGGAAGGGACCCATGCCTGTGGATGTGGATGGCATATGTGGGGTAGGGGATGGTATGGGACAGGGACACCCCAAGGAACTGTTGTGTGGGGAGCACTGTGGGGTAGGCTGGGGCTGTGCCCAGCATGGGCAGGGGACCAGGGGAACAAACGTGGCAGGTGGCAGAGCAGAGAAAAAGGCACTTTTTGGCACTGGCTTTCAAAGTGCAGGAAAGGTGAAGTTCCAAGTCCCCATATCAGGAAGAGCAGGAGAGGAGCTGTGAATCCATGGCAGGACATGAGCTGGGGAAGGACTGCAGGGCATGAGCTGGGGAAGGACTGCAGGACATGAGCTGGGGAAGGACTGCAGGCCACACATGCTGGGGAGGTTGAGCTGGGAGGAGCCACAGCAAACCTGGAGTGCATGAGGTGCCTTTGTCCTCCTGCACCCTGGGGGAGGCCCCAAGGACATGAGGACTGAGGGTGTGGGGAGAGAAAAGGCCCTTGAGCCCATTTGGGTGGGACCACAGGCTGTTCTTCTCCTGGGGAAGAACTAAAGAAAGCTTCTGCGTTGTGTCCAGCCTCAGTAAACATGGACTTGTGCCTCCTTCCTGGGCTGCCTCCTTTGTGGGTGCTTTGAACGGGGTTACTCTGACACACCTGAGCCTGTGGAGGGGCCCTGACCCCAGCCAAACCAAGGTGAGGGATGAACAGGTTACCAGGACTTTGGAACAGGATCCTCAGGAAAGTGGTCACAGCACCAAGCCTGACAGAGTTCAATAAATGTTTGAAAAGCAATCTCAGGAGCTTGGGATTCTTGTGATTGTCCTGTGCAGGGCCAGGGGTTGGACTTGATGACCCCTGTGGGTCACTTCCAACTCAGGATATTCAATGATTCCATGGTTTGATCTCTCTCTTCCTATCAGGACTAAAACCAGACTGCAAATCTTCAGTCACTGGCAGCTCTCCTGACTTCAGCAGCTTCAGGATTTTGCATCATTGCTGGGTACTTTGCCCAAAACAAGTCTGGGAGGAAGTATTAAGGAAAATGATCCAGTAGATGACCAGTGGCCAGCTATCACATATGAGTCTCTGGATGCTCTTGTTCACCATCTGTATTAACTCCAGATGTGCACAGATTGAAAAATATATTTGGGGGACATTACTGACCTGACAAAGTGAAATAATTTTCCCCAGACTTCCCATTTGAAACTGTTTGTTCCTATCTTTCTGCTCCTTAGTAGTAGAACATGTGGGATTGCAGTTGGAAAGGAGGAGAGAGGGGGCAGCTTGATGGAATGCTGTGTATTAGCACTTTCCAGAGTGCAGCTGACTGGAAAAATCACTCTCACCACTTTGAGGGCAGAAGCTCATGAGAGAGCAGGAACTCTTGGCTGTCCCCATCCAGTGCAATGGAAGGTGTGCCAGCACTGTGTGACATGGGAATGGTGTGGCAGCATGGACCATGTCCTACACAGTACCAAAACCCAGCTCTGAGCCTGGGACTGTGACACCAGACCCAGCCCTGGGACTGCACAAGGTCTGTGCCACCAACAGCTCTGTGCAGAGTGTGTCTGGGGGCACTGGCTTCATAAATCAGAGAATCATTAAGGCTGGGGAAGATCTCTAAGATCCTCAAGTCCCAGCACTTAACCCAGCACTGCCAAGTCCAGCACTAAATCACATCCTTAAATGCCACATCCACCTTTTTTTTAACATTTCCAGGGATGGGGATTCTACCACTTCTTGGGGCAGCTTCTTCCAATTCCTGACCACCCTTTCAGTGAAGAAATTTTTCCTATATCCAATCTAAACCTCCCCTGGCACAACTTGAGGCCATTTCCTTTCATTCTGTCACTTGTCACCTGGAAGAAGAGACTGGCTCCAGCCTCCTTTCAGAGGGTGATAAGGTTTCCCCTGAGCCTCCTCTTCTCTTGGGACCTTGGGTTTGCACCGGGGGATAGTGGGATGTTCTTGGCAGGGGCACTGTACAGCCAAAGGGTTGGATCCAGGGGAAGCAGCAGCTGCTGGTTTGTGTTGGGACACAGGATGAATGCTGATTTGGGGCTGTAGGCTGTGCTTGGGCTTTGGGTTTTATTTAGTCATATCTGGTTTTCCTCTTAGCTGGTGGCAGGATCAGTGTGAGGATGGCTCTGCACTGGCTGCAAACCCATCTTTCCTGCTTGGTAAAACCCCCAAATCTTCCACAGTTTGTGGCAAAGGGGCTTTCAGAGAGCATCTCACTTGCCATAAGTTATGTTTCACTGGAAAAGTCTTTGGTTTTGATTTGAAGGATCAAGAACTGGCAAATCCACCCCTTCCCTTTACTGTCTTGTTTTAGTGTTTTATTATCCGTATTGTTTAAGCATGAGCTTAATTTTTCTTTTGAACTTGTTTGGTTTCCTAAACACAAGTTTGAGCCATGCTGTCAGACATTAAATCTTTCCTGCAGACACTCCAGAGGTCCGTGCTGACCTTACCTCACTCTTCCTTTGCCTGCAGACAGCCGACCACTGGGGCGGAACAGCTGATTTATCCTGATGTAAATCAAAGCACAAACATAGCCCCAGCCTATTTTTATTTGGCCAAGAGAGATTATTGAGTACGACTGTGATTACGGGAATGCAGTGGGTGACCCGTGTGAAATCTGGGCTGCTGAGAGGCACAGATAATCCTGCATGATGCTGTTAGGATTGTCACCAGCAACAGCATGACCCATGGTGGGCACAAAGCCAGTGCAGGTACCAGGCAGGGTCAGTGTGCAAATGCACATGAGCACAGGGAGCTCTGGTATTCCCAGCTTTCTGTGCTGAGCCCAGAAAAGGTTTGGATGGGGAAATGGAGTCACTGTCCACATTGACACATTGACACATTGACATTGTGCCTCTGCTTTTGGACTTGTATCCCTGTACCTTGCGCTCTCCCCAGGTCCATGTAGCTCAGTTTTGCCCTTCAGCAAGCTGTGTTCATTCCTCAAACTCCTCTTTACCAGCTGAGGAGCCAGGGAACATCCTGAATAAAAGCTAAGAGCAGGACACCTACCAGAGATTTGCAATTTTGCCTCAAGTAGGTGGATATGAGCCAGACTTACCCTGTATTAAATCTTTATTTTTCATCGTACATTCAGCACCATCAGCTAACCCTTTTATTTTTTATTTCTTATTTTATTTATTGCTGTTTTGAAAACCTGAGACTACCCATGGTTCTGCTGCGGTTTTCTCCAACAGCACCTGCCACAGAGGGAATTGGCTGCCAAGAAGAACAAAAATACTGATCCCAAAGCCTCTAGCTGTGTTTTCCATCCTTGCCCTGCTGCAGCAAACATCTACCCCTTTGCAGTGCAGGAGAGATGGTTAAGAGGCAGCTATCTCTGGTTCCTGTAGCTCATGTGGAAAGCTTACTCTGCACCCATTCTTATCTAAACATGCCTAAGCCCCAGCATGCTGCCTCAGCTCCTCTGGCTTTACACTTCAGGCTGTTTTGAAAGTGAATTTGTAAAGCCATTAACATTATTTAAACAGTTTAGCCACAGAATTACCCGGTGGTGCAATCCAGCTGCCAGAAGCGGAGACACAGGGCTCCTTTGCGCTGCGGATCAAACAAAACTTGGCCAAAGCACGTGGGCCCTGGAGGATGCCAAAACCAGGGGTGATGGAGGGGAGCGAGAGCTCACTGGCTTTCCTCTTGGCAGGAAATCTCATCAAGTGTTGGGTTGTAATTTTTTTTTTTATGAGCTGGTTTGGTTCCAAATCAGACCAAAACCAGATTTGTTTCCCCTTGAAGCTTCTGGAAGACTGGAAGGCATCAGTCTCCTGGTTGTCCTGCTGCAGCTGGCTTCCCAGAGAGATCATTTCAGCTGGTGGGTCCAGGGCTTGGGTTAGGGACACATGGGGAGTTCAGGGTTTACAGACAGGGCTTCCCACACCCTGAATCTCATGGCAGACCTCACCTCCTCTTGGGCAACATTCCCCCAGCTCTTGGTTTCCTCTATGCTCAGGCACAGTGCAGAAAGTAACCAGGGGAATATGGATAACATAAATAATCCATGCTCAAGAATTTGAGGAGACTCTGGAAACAGAGCTTTTTCAGACAGTTGCAGAGAATCAGTTCCTCCAAGCTGAACATGTGACAAGGGTGATGGGGGTGGTGAGGCCATGGCACAGGTTCCCCAGTGAATCTGTGGCTGCCCCATCCCTGGAAGTTTTCAGGACTGGGCTGGGTGGAACTCTGAGCAACCTGGTCTAGTAAAAGGTGTTCATAGCCATAGCAGGGGTTTGGAACTTGTTGATTTTTATGTTGCTTTCCAACCCAAATAATTCTCTACTCTGATTCTAGGACATGCTCTTTGTCCTAAAGCAACTATAATAAAATGGATAAAGCAGAGAGGAGTGGAGAAACTGAGGCACAGACACTTCAGATGACATCTCTGAGAATTAAAGTGGGTTTCCTACAAAAGTCAAACTGTAGACCCCACTGTACATGACATTTAAGGCAAGTTTTTTCATATTCTGTTAATACATAAGAGGG